TAGCCATAAATGTTTAAAGATCTGTTGGATTAATGATAAAGGGTTTGGGGTTTTTTTTAAGTTATAGTTATCAGCTAACTTTAGAAACTGGTGGAAGCTTATATCAGATACAAAGAGAAAATGTGAGATACTGTAAATTAGTGTTCTCCAATATTTTTTTTTTAAGCTTAAGTCTAAGCAGTTGCAAGTGAAGTCTTCATTAAAAATATTCACTTTTTAAATTTGCATGTATACCTAAAAAGTTGTCTAAATATCTGCATTCTAGGGAGTGTGTTTACGGTGGCTTTGTAAATAGCCAAGAAATACATAGTTCTGATGTAGACACACCATAAGAGGATATATTTGAAAACAGTTTAAATGCTATCTTCCATTGTAACTTTGAAGATAATTTTATGCAAATAAAGCTTAAATCTGAGTAGTTGCATATAAACAGTTAAAACCTAACCCTAAATCTACAAATTTCTGTATGACAAGAAATATCATCCCTCCGGGTTTACTTTCTCACTAATTAACATTGCGATAAAATTTGTTTGTTAATAACAAGGATTTTAAGCACCTATTTCAGTCAATTTCCAGGTGTGTAACTGTGGTAGAAATCTTTTGTATGCTTCCTTGATGATTTACCAGTTGTGCTGACAAATTCTTTGCTGTGTCATATTCCATTAGGCTTGTCAGGTAGCAGTGTGGTTGTTACTAGTGTTTAACTTCTAAAATGAGAAATATTTTAAAAAGTGCGTCACTTAGAGACAGATACATTTGGATGTAGATTGTGCTAGAGGACAAAATTGATTTTTTGTTTGTTTTCAAATTCAGAAATTTTTCACAACTTCATGGGCTAGATAACTTAAAAACAGAAGCATAAAGCCACTACTCTGCAAAAGAGAGTCAATCTGTTCAGGGAAGTAGCAAAAATACAGTTGTATTATTTAACTTGGGAGCTGAAGTGGTGTGTTACTTTATTCAAAATGAAGGTTAAATCTCTGTGATCTACTGCAGTGTATAGAAAGTACTCAACTTTTCCTTAACTGACTACTTTAGGTAGTGGTAATAGTTTAGTCCTGACAGCACTGGATGTTTTAATGATCTTCTAATATAACACACACACACACACACACACACACACTGTTCTCTCCTTCCCTGTGTTGCTTCCTACCCCACCAAATGTTGAAGTTATGTCCACCTTTTAAACAGAACAGCAGTTAAAATGCAAAAGGTTTCAAAACATTTTAGATTAAATGTGTGCTTCAATGCTGTACTGATTCAAGCTCTTAGAACATATGCAAGAAAGCAGTGGAGTAGAAGGCTACATTAACTGTATGTGCCAAATATTAACTGAAGGGTGTTTTAGAGGGAAATATATCACGCTGGCTCTGAGAGCCTGAGGGAGGCGAGGCTGCTGCTGCTTTTTCATGTCCCTAGGTCTAACCAGTAGCAAAGATGAAGATGCATTCCCAGTAGGTACATGCACAGAGCACACACATGCACCAAATATATACACAATTGCCCACAAAGATCACACTCAGAGCTTTCACAGGAATACAGACAGCACCAGTGACCTCATTCTGTTTCCCTCTTTGGCTGGACAGGATGGAAGTCCATTAGTGAGAGTGAACATGCACATATGTATACATGTAGATGCACACATAATAGACAGCCCATACTCAGGAGTTAGAAAGGAAATTAATAAAAAGATAGGACAGATGGTGCTGATCAGGCACAGAGCACAAGCAGACAAACTTATTAGCCAGCAAACTATTTACACGTGACTGACCCTTTTATCCCACTATCTCCCTATTTTCCCATTCGTGTTCCTCCCAAAGCCATCTAAAACCCTCCCTTGACCTTGCTTTGGGTTCTCCCCTAAACATTGCATAATAAATCCTGTGCCATCCCAAAATGCTTTTCCCCCATATTCCATAATGTGTCCTACATACCTAGGCAGCAATCCCTCTGTTAGGCAGAAAAGTGATCTGCAGACCAGCTGCCAAGGACTCATGGTGATGAGTTTCATGCCTGGACAATGGGGCTGATGGCTCTGTTAGGCATAACCCTAGGAGAGTGTGAACAAGGTGGTTGTTCCTCCTGAGTTCTTGATTTGGGTTCCTATCTGTCACTATACACACCTGTGCTCCTATGAGCCTGGGAAGATGGACTTTTGATGGGCTGATGGCCACTGTGATGGGCTTGGGAGTCGCCTGTCAGGGTACTATTTGGGTTAGTATTATCCTGCTAGTGTCTCTATCTTCACACCCACAAAAGAGATCAAAGTTCTCCAACAGGGTGTGTCAGCCACATGCTTTTCTTAGAGGTGGTTGCTTCATAAAACGATGCTATAAGGCTGAATTGTACAAGTCCTTATCCTTTGCAGTAAGGAACTCTAATATTTGTCCAGAAGTAAATAACGGATGCACTACAATGTAAAATGCTGAATTTTCAACTGCATGATTCAAGGACCATTAGTGGGGGAAGGATTTTTATCAACCCAAGTAATGCTGGCTCAAGATTTGTTTGCACTAAAAAGAAACCATCAGTATAAGAAGACATTTACAGTTTCAATCTGGAAAATAAATGAACACTGCAACAACAAAAAATCCCTTTTTGAGAAACACATACTCCTATGTTATAAAAAAAGTTCAGACACATTGCCTTGATAAGCAGTTGCTAAGGCTCTTCCAAAGTCATAATTGAAATACTGGTAGCAAGCATAATGTTTAATGGTCATTATCTGGAAATAAGGTGCTGTTTGAAGAGTTTATTGAGATTTAGATGGGAAGGGAATTTGCCCCGTTGTAAAAATATGAAGAAGGTTTGTCTATTTAAAAATCAAAGCACATCAGGTGCAGCTCAGCATGTAATTATGCTTCTTACGTTTAAGAAGTGCCAGAATAATACTAGATTTAGCTGACAAATGGAGAATTTTCCTGTTACAGTCCCCATCTTTTGTCTATATCTGCAGAACACAGTCATCTGAAAATTGATAGGCTGATAACTGTCTATAGTCTTTGAATTCTTCATAGAAAAAAATGTGGGAATCATGGCTGAGTCTAAGTGCAAAAGCTTTAAAAAGTACAAATGGGAAAAAAAAAAAACAAAAAAACAAAAAAACAACACTCAGTTCCCTCCTCCAGGCCTTACACATCTTGGTTACAGAGTTACTCCATTATCTAGACATCAGTGCTGTTTTCCTCATTAAAAACAGTCACATATTGATATATGGAATATTACACTGTATTTAGAATACATATAGATTTTATAAAAATTTTGACAACTTTTAATAATAAATAATATGCAGATGCTTTACAATAGTGCAATTACTAATTAAATGAATGTTGAAATGCATGAAAATTATCAGGACAGGATAAACATAAATCTGACTTTCAAGAGCTTTTACAGTTTTATCAGGAGTAAATCCACAGATGCTGAAATGAAAAATGCTTGCTCTCCAAGCACCTGTTGTAAATATTTTAAATTAAAACAGTTTATTCTGGATGGTGCAAAGGATTTGTTAGTTGCTTTTTTTCTTTTTAAACCTCAGCAGTGGTCTTTATGAATTGAAAAATATTTCACAGTTGGAATTGGCACTGTTTGAGAGGGGTCATCTGGCATCCAAAAATCAAACAAAAAATAGACAAAATAGAAATAACAAAATGAAGGCTGAATAGGCCTTTGAAAATTATTTTATAAGGCATAGGTTATTACTGGTAAAATTACTATTCGCATGAATTTGGGTGTTGTAGTGGAAAGGTAGAAAGTTGCCACAGCCCATATGAAGTGCCTGACTATGTTTCCATGTTGAAGCTCCTTGGTCCTTTTAAAGCTAATTGATTTGTTATAAAAGAAACTGAAAACTTTCATCAAATAACTCATACGAAAGTCATATACAATAAACTGGAAAAGCTAATTTACTTGTTGATTTATGTTCCTTGTCAACTTTGTTTGAAAATCATGTTATTACTTTGTAGGCTGTTCCAGTTATTTCTTGTAGACCATAAAGTACAGTATAACTGATTAAAAGTTTCAGAATCTTACCTAGTGTTTAAAAGAGTTGAGGTAGGTTTTTTTAATTCAGTTGTAATGCAAGTATCCAAATTCAAATCTTAAAAACTACCTGTGTTTTTATCAGGTAGAGACAATCCTACAGTCTCCTGAACTTTGCTAGTTTTCAGTGAAAGCTCTTACAAGTACTGTAGCTAGAAAGCTTAGACACAGTGATCTGGAACAGGACACATTCTAACACAAGTGACATTTAAAACAGTGCATCTATTCAGGCAGCACTCATTCTCCCTGTCCCTCCACATGCACACACAACATGCAGAACTGCTTTATCCGTACATGGTAGGTTAAGTTTATAACCAATAGCAGGGTTTTTGTATGGTCCTACTAATCACTGATTGTACGATTAATGTAACATACTGTGTACTAACAATGAATGCCCAATTGTCAGAAATACAAGTAGAGGTTTACATGATGTACAAATTGAGTCTCATTATCAATAACAGAGCTGCTCACTCGCAGGGCATTTAAGTGTGTTCATAAGTATTTGCAGGGTGCAGGGCCTTGGGTTCCTTTTATATAAATTCTAAGCATTCTTTTAAAAAAATTCAAGGAAAGGTATTTTTAATAATTTCAAGAAAATTGACAGTATGGAATTAAGTGCTTGTTTGATTCTTTTAGACATCAATATTCATTCAGTACCTAATGCCAAATGCTTTTGAGATTGATTTACAAGCACAGGAAGTGGCTTAACAGTCTTATTTTTCAGTTCTTGAGGTTGATGATCTGTACAGATGTTTGTTGCCTATGGGCATATACAGTGTAAAAAAACAAACAAACAAAAAAAACCCAAAAAAAACCCCAAACAACCCTATTACTGTGGTTTTTATGGCAACATTCTTACAAAGACTTTTAAAAATACCTTTTGTGAATTTAAAGATTCTCAGTTTCACTGGAAGTCATTGCAATATTCTTCATTTGTAAAGACAACTCTATTTTACTTTCAGATTCAAGGCCTCTACCAGATGTAGCCCTGACAGGGAAGTGTACCCGAGAGTGTGATGAATATGGCCACTCGGACTCCTGCTGGATGCCAGTTCGCACTTCTCCTGAAAGAAAGCAGAAGAGCCAGCCAAAACTCTCCACTTTCATGCCTGTTGATGAACGGGGCAGTCAGGAAAAGCTGGCCAATGGAGAAGCCTCCCTCATGGGTGATCGCAACAGAAACCTCCTTAACAAAAAGTTGACCTCATCCTATGAGACCTTCAGTGCGGCTAGTTTCAGCAAAAATGAAGAAGGCAATCCAGAGGATATCCCCCTTACACAGACAGGGGAATACAAGCCATCTCCTGTCAATACTCTAACTAGAAGAGAAGTTTACCTGTAGGTTAAAAAGCAGCAACCAAGCTCTTTCATATTCTAAGAAAGAAAAGGGGCAAAAGTCTTAAAATCAAAACAATTTTAACAAAAAATAAGAAACTAAAAAGAGGGGGCCACCAAAGAGACAAAAGATCCGCCTGCCACTTCTGCCTCCATAGCAGGCATTTAATTATCCTGTCTGCCTGACTATAATGTACAATGTAGAAAATGTTGTTACTTGCATGTCTAATTCTCCCTCACTGATTTTTATTTTCCTAAATCTACAGTTGCAAATTCCTCCCATAGTAACGAGCTTGATTGAAAAGAATACAACACACTGTTTTTTCCCCTCTGCAGAAGCATGAGTTAAGCCACTCATTTTGTTTGATTGTCATCTGGCTTGTTGAGGATAACAGGTCAGGGAAAATGTATTCAAAGCATCATCTGAATATTGCTGATCCCCACCAGGGACAATCCTTCAGAAACCATACAGTTATAGAGATAAATATAAAGGAATAATCATTAATAGGCACTTTGTGAAGACCACAGCTTTAATATTCTCACCTCTCATCTGAGGCTGGAAGCAACAGAAATACATTCAGCCTGGGACTGAAGTCAGAAACATGGCATACTTTCCTATGATTCATGAACTCTGGTTCTGTTTTATCCATAGAACAAATGTGTTCTTGCTGTGTCTCTCTCCTTCTCTCTCTTTCTCTGTAATGATTACTGCAACGTAAACACAATTAGTAACACATATACTGTAGGATAGTAATGATAAACTGTTGAAATCATTATTTTGGGCAAGACTAACATCTAGCTGGAAAGATCGTAATAACAAAAAGGCCAAAGATCACACAATGGATCAGGGGAACTGCTAAGTATCGGGGCTTGGCTTAGAAAACCAATATATTCACAAAACCACACATGTACTCACAACACACCTTCAGTTACATTTTGCACAGCAGCATACTTCACAAGCCCAGATGACTTTTTTTTTTTTTTTTTCCATTCAGTTGAATGCCCAAAGGAACTGATGTGGGGTTTTTTGTAATGACATGATATGTTGCAGCAGATGCTGCATATGATATGCTGCATATGCCAGTTCCAGGGAAATTTTAAGATCAAAATTAAAAGTGAAGAGTAGCGATAGGAGGCTGTGTTAATGAGAATGCTTGGTAGGGTGGAAAGGGTGAACAATCGGATGATGCAGTGACAAGAGAATATTACAAGTCAAATACAAAACCTTCTTTCCAGAGTGTAAGGAGTGATTGCTAGGTCTTTTGTCATCAGTGTTGCAGATTACCAATTGCTTCAATTATGTCAAGGATATAATGAAGGTTTTCTTGAAACACAAGTGCATTAAAACCAAGAGAAGTGCAATACTAAATGATGTCAAGACTCAGAATATTTAGGCTAGGTAGAAAATGGTACTGTGATAAACAGTGGTATGATACTCACCTAGCAGGCGAAGGCGAGTCAAAAGGAGTCCAAGCTACTGTGATATGCAAGAGCTCTGGGCTGTAACAATTCTCAAGGTGAACGCTTCTTGACAGGAAGAGGAAATTAAACAGATTTTTGTGCAATAAAAGCAACAAAACATGCAGAACTTCAACCAGTTGCTTTGTAGCTGATGCTGTAGTAATAATGACAGACTGAGCTCAGACATTCAGATGAGAGCGACAATCAAACAACACAGCAAGGACAGCTCAAGGAGGAAAGCATTCAAATCCCTGGCTGTTTAACCTGGCGTTAAGGCATGACTAGATGGCTCTTTAGTATACTGTAGACACAATGTAGCTTTGGGTAGTTTCTTGCTATGAAGAATTGCATAGAAATAACCTTAAACAGCCTAATGTAGAGGTTGGTAAATCAATAAAACTCATCACATTTATCTTTTGAAATCACTTCTTCATATAGTGGGATGTGCCATAATTGGCCATTTTGTTCTCCTGAGTTTACTTTCTTCAAGTAACATTGGTGTATAGCAGTTACGATGAATGGGCACATTTTAGAAAGAAAATATCAAAGATTAATAATGATTGAACATTTTTATGTTTAATTATTTAAGTAATATGGAGAGATGCAAACTAGTACTTTGTTATGAGACTGCATACAGCAGTTACTGCTTTGTATAATCTGTAAGTACCTGTTTAAAAATGCTTCTAAAAATGCTTATGTAATGTATACACATTTTTCTTGCACGTTTCAACAGAATACACAATTGCATAAGACGAATGTTCAACAGAATTTCCTTTAATAAGATTTTATTTAATATTACACAGACACACACAAAAAGTTAGTAGCTTGGTTCCATATATTCTTAGACCCTTTTTCTACAAGGCTAATAATACAGGTCATAGAAGACCTTCAGATTAAAAGGATCAGCAGTCACTCACCAATTTTTGCACCACATAAGACAGTCATTAAATACTTTACTTGTGTGCATCTCCTTAGATCTAAAATGGGTGTGAAAGATTTTTTAAAAAATTCTATCTACTGTAAGTATTCACAGTAATTCTGGTGGAACTAGCCACTATTAATGTGCTGATTACTCTTCTGACCTGGCATGACACACAAATATATTTTGTGTTTGTATTATTCCTCTTTATTTGAAATAGGTTAAAACTGGTGCCACTCCATAAATAGAGTGTTTTTGTATAAAAATAAACAAATAAAACTATAAAAAATAATTAGGGTGAATGCAAAATATGCAACTGTGCCTTTTATACCTATTATTATGGTAAAGTGGTAGTTGGGTTTGGACACTGAGGGATAAGGGGCTATTCCCAACTTTTTTGAACCTGTATATTTACCTGTGTTTATTTTCTGAGAAATTATAAATAATATATTTAAAAACAAGCCTTTTGCCAAACTCAGTTAATGGACCAGTCTTAAGCATTATTAATACAAGGCTGTGGTTTAAGTAGGTCTCGAGTATTTTTTTTATTACTATTTTTGTGGAGTTTGGGATTGTTTTAATTTGTTTTTAATTCTGCTGCCTGGAAAACTATGATCAGTCTATATTATAGTTATCTAGCAAGGTGTCACCAGTTCATGTTGCCAGGAAAATTGAAGATTAATTTTCTTAATTGCTTTAGCCATCATCACATTTCAGTTGTACAGTATAGAAATCATCCTTTTATTTCCTTCCATGGGAAACTCAAATGAGCTTTGCATGTATTTTACCATTAGGGCACCTTTATAGATTGATGCGTTAATATATAACTTTATATGTATTAGAAAATTCAATAGCTTTGATCTAAAATCTAATGCTCATTCTGGATCTCAGATCCATTATGTTTATTCAATATGGTTTCTGACTGGCCTGCTGCCTGAGTTTCAGGAAAAAAAGTTAAACATTATTTTTATGTGGGGGAAGAACTTAAATGGGATTGAAATGATTGGCTGAAAGGTTACCCTAGGAAGTTGTCATTCAGGAAAACAAAGAATATTGTTAAAGACCTTGCCATAAATCCAGACATCACCACCACTTGCAAGGAACATGAACAACAAAATACTTTTCCTTTTGTTTCATTGGTACATATATAGAGTGTTTCCTTAAGGAATGAAGCAGATGAAATAGCAATAGAAATAAAAGTCCATCAGTTAAGTTGTATTACTGACTGAAGAGCATAAACACAAGGAAGAAGACAACATTCACCAGCTACCTGGGGTATGTTTTCAGACAACTTTTTCCTAAATTTTAAAGCACTTGCATTCAGTGTGGTACGATCTGTTTGTAATAATAATCATTGACTATTGTTCTGCAACTTGGATGTTGATAGTGAAGCAGAGAAAAATTTATCATTGTTTATTATGAGTCACTATGCACGCAACTATGCTAAACATGGCAAAATGTATTAAGCGCAAGTCCACCTCTATTTATGAAATATTTACATAATTTAATTTGCTTTTGTACAGTTTTATGTAAATAAATTGCTTGTCATTTTTGTCTCTGCAAATTAAAATATAACATGTTCAACTGGTTGCCCATTTGCCAGTGTACTTTCTCTGACAGGCTATTCCACTTTTACTGGATGAAATCACATGCTAGTTTGCATATTTAACCTATATTTTGCATGGCAAAGATGAAATTGCCTTTGTAAGTGGCTACATCTTCAGCTGCTGATACAGCTGAAGTTTTACCTGTCTGCAGAGTGACATTCAATAAAGATTATTGTCACTCAGGACAGCATACAGCTATTTTTGTGGTAGAAATAAAGTACTTGTAATGATAGCAGTTGTTTCTGATTACTGTTCAAAAGGGCTTCTTATTAAGGTGTGTTTAAAACTTTCATATTCAGGGGAACAACAAACCCAACAATTTACTTAAGAATAATCTTAAGGAAAAGCTCAGGTATTTCCATTATGAAATGACAATTTTCTAATTATCAGCAAGGTTGCTATTTTTTCCGAGAAGTTTAAAAATATTAACAAATCCTAGTGTCAGTGAAGCATATATGCTGAAAAGAACAACACAATTAATGCAGCATTTCAGAACAAAATGTAAAGTAAAAAAACCTCCAGTTCTTTCTAGCTGTGAATCAAATTATCCATCTCAGCATAACTACAGATCAAGAACAAACCCTTCTCAAGAAGAAACATCTAAGAAGCAGAAAGAGTTTATTCCTTAGCTGTCTGGATCACACACTGCTTTTTGTTTGTTTGTTTGTTTGTTTAAAAAAAAAAGCAAGTTCTAAATCAGCCATTAATTTGGGATTTACATCAGTTGTAATATGTGCAAAATACGTTTGTGGAGAGAGGGATCAAAGGTTAGAACTCACCCTCCTTCCTGTTGTTTTCTACAAAATACAGTATTGCTACAGAGACCTTGCAAATCATTGTGTACAATTTCCCTCTGAACACCACAGAAAGTGCTGTTTCTACCTTTTTACCTTAGTTACAGATTAGGCTTTGATTTTTGTGAATATAAGTTGGCCGGAACTTTTTTTTTTTTTTAATAAACTTTACATTGCAAATTTCTTTCTCTGCCTGTGCTTTCAGTTAACATTGCCTGGTCTTCTCTAATGAATGTGTGAAGGAAGATTCTTCCTTTCATAAACAGAGGTCTGAATCTACATGCCTGTGGAGAGAATTCAATCCACCAACTGACCCCAGATCTTTCACATCACATGGGAATGAGCTACCCCTCAACCTCTTTCAGCAGTAGCAGTATTTTAATGAGTAACTTCAATCAAGCTTTCATGTTTATTTTATACTAGATGTAGTATGCAAGTCATGACCTTATGTTTGTTTATTTTGTCTTTTATCTGCATTCTTCTTGTTTACCAACTGCATCCATGAAAGTGATTACAGGAAGATAAAATAAATTTCCTGAGCCACTGAGAGTGGTAAGAGAGGATAATATAAACTGCAAAAGCTAACAATTTATGCTCCCCTTTAACCCTGGCTTCATTTCTCCCTCCTGCACTGCAGTAAAATGTAAATCTTATGCAGAGACTGAAATTAATAAATGTGACCTAGGCAGAAATAATTTCATGTCTTTATTAAGCTCCTGAGAGGAATGTATAGAAGATGCTTAATAGTTCATAAATGTGCAAATCATCTAGCCTATGCAAAAGAAAGCAACACTGGAGTTAGACAAGAATATTTAGTATATTGCTTAGTAAAATGATAGGATTCCAGTCAGTCAGTTCATACAGCTATTTCTTCGAAAACAAGTATGGCTGGTTTAAAGACTTAGATATACTTACCAAGAAACCAGGGGAAAAAAAGTTTAAAATACCTATTCTGTAGTGGTATGGAATAGCTTCTGGGAGAAGAGGGAACAAAGAACAGCAAATAAGTATAATGTAATTGGCACGGAAGTGTTAGAAGTAAAGCCTTTTAGGACTTTTAAACTGATTTAAGGATCCTAAAATAGGGAGATATTAATGCATAATTTGTAGCTATCTACAGTATGGTACTGTAATTTCTAAGAAAGGATTCTTGTTAATTATAAGGCATGTGATTCTATTTAAGGTTGTGTTTATAAAAGTCTAATTAATGGTTAAAAGTATTTATACCTTAGTATTGCTTCTTTGTAAGCTTACTAAGCAAATTTCAACAGGCTCCTAGAGGATCACTGTAGGAGAAGGCAGGTTTGGAAAGACCAAGATGTCAAAGATACAGTTTTCATATTTCTATCTTATTTTCAGCAATGCAACAAACTCCTTCATGTTTACGCTATAATCATGAATTAAAAAAAAAAATAAAAATCTAGACCTTTCAGCTGCCACTGCTTTCCAGAATATTACAGAGGGAACAAAATAGCATAAAACCAGGTTTAATAGACTGATTTATATTAAGTTTTATATTTATATAATATACTGATTTATATTAAGTGTTATATTTACTCCTCCTTCAGTAAATTTTACACTTGGCAAACACAGTGTCATGGAGAAAGCAACGTAAATATGAATGAAATACTAAGTTTTTCCCAATCCTGTAGAGAATCAGAGAAGGAAGAAAAAACAAGAGCAAGAGGAAAAAAATGCTGTCTCTTTTTATTACCTACCTCTCATGGATTTCTAGCACCTACATAAAAGCTCATGAATGGAATAGCTAATACTGGAGTCTATTTTCTTCCCACACAAATGTACACCTTCTCTTCTTCCAACAGACTTGCAGGTTTTATAACTTGTACTAAGTCTAGTTGGGGTAAACCTTCTTGAGGCTTTTTCTGCTTGTATAGTAATGGCACTACACGATACCAGAAAAGCTGATCTTAACTAAGACAAGATTGTGGTGGTAGTAGTCAGATCTAAGCTAGTTGAATATATATATTTGATAAGACAAGTAGAAGTGAAGAAATCAGAATAAGATTAAAAGGATCCTGTTGGTCTGAAAAGGTCTGCAAACTGCTGCACACACAGTAATGATTTATTATCTAGGTCTGATCAAAATGGAAGAGACTGAAAATTTCATAAGCAAAAAAGAGAAGGAGGAATAAAAATAAATATAGATGGAGACCTAATACCAATTAAGTGTGTATATACATACATACAAACCTCTCACCTCTGTTTTTTTTGAAACAGATTTTAAGATACTCTTCAAGGTACCAGAAAATTGACTACTTCTGTCATTAGCCAATGTCAGGGAGACAGAATACTGGACAAGAGGGACCTTCAGCATGAGGTCCAATATCTATTCTAAGGTTTAGTAAGACAGAACAAAAAATATATATTAGTGGCTATTAATGTAAAAGGAAATGGTGATCACAGTTAGAAAACAAGGTAACCACCAAACTTGTTTCAGTTTCTCTCTGGCCTCCTACCTCACATAAACTGCCAGAACAAAAGTCAGAGCTTTTTTTTTTTTTTTTATCTTAGTTTGTCTCCTTTTGCTGGCAGTTCTTGGAATCAGTTTGGCACCTACTTAGCTTTTGTCCACTTTGCCCTGAACTAAAAGAGAACCTCAGCACAATAGGTGATTTCATATTCTCTTTCAGTCTGACCTCTGAGCATCTGGCAGGCGTCATGTTGCCACCCTTATCTTTAGAAGCATGAAAACATAGTAGACTCCCTCACACATAACTCTAAATAGGGGTTTGAATAATAAAAGGGGCCTTATACATGGTTGAACAAGAAGCATGCCTTGAATTTAGAATAATCTGGTGCTATGCTGATTAAAAAAAAAAAAAAATCTGAATTCTGGAGAGGATTGAAAATCTGTTGTGTGTGATAAAGAACAAACCACACGCTGGGTACAACCCTATAATAACAAGAAGTGCATTTCTTCTTGCTCTAATCTGCACCTTATGTAGACATGAAAGGAAAATGTACAAATGCCCCATGTCCCTCTGAAGCACAGTTAAGAGTGTTTCATATATACAAGAAAGAAGGAATCTTCTTTTGCCCAGCCCTGGTAAATTAAGCTTGTTTCCAATCAGTTTGGATACCCCTGTTGATTATTCTGATTGTGTTTATGTGTCATCATTACAATGATAACGACCAATTAATGATACAGCTAGCATGATGTGCTTACTTAAGAGGTCATAGTATTAATCCAGGGAAATAATGTAAAAGTGCTACTTGGAGAACAGGCATTCAAACTATAACTCCCACGAGGTGCTATAATGTATCAGCTAGATACATTATTGCATATTACTATAAAAGTTAAATACCACTTTTCAGTTCCAAAGAAAACTCAGCTAGTCCAAATAAACATTCAGAGATAAATAAACGTGAGAGTCTGGTTAGTCATGGACTGAGAAGGTCACATCTGAGAGTTACAGAATAGTTTTTGTACTGAGTGACTGCCAGTGAAATAAATTTAGCACCTTCCCAGTGATAGGATCTGAAGCTTCCAGAAGTTTACTGTTCAGTGGCACTCAGAAAAAAAAAACAAAACAAAACCAAAAACAACAACAAAAAATAATCCACAAAAACCCAAACCCTAAAACAGAATAAAAGTTTAGAATTAAGGAAGGATTATCAACCAGAATGGATTTTGCTGCTTAAATCAAGATGCAGGAGTATCTTGAATATTTTTCACAGTTCTACCTCTACACCTCTATATTAAAAAGGATATAAATACTAGAAGAGATGCTGAGTAGGGTGAACAAATTGTAGAATAAATAATATAGGACTCTTCAGCCTAGAGAAGAGAACTGAGAGTTTTGACAGTGGTCCATATAAAATCATGAATGGCATGAAGAAAAGTGGGACAAACTATCATTTTCCCTTAATAAACGGACTATGAAGCATCATAAGAAATCATCAGACAATAGCTTCAAGATACATGGAAGATGGTGTGCTTTCCCATAGTGCAACAAACAGCTCAACGTTGTCAGAGCAGATCAATTTTTGGGATGCACTGCATGAATCTGGCTCACATAAAGAATAAAATGAAAAAGCAGATTTATAGATTGATACTTCTTATGAATGACATAAGTTAGGAATTACATAAGTAAAAGACATATCTGTTTGTTTCTCCTGCTCTCTTACCTAAACAGACTCACTAACAACTACTGGAAGCAGAATACTGAGTTGGAAGTCTCTTTCTCTCTCTAAAACCGCCTCAAACCAAACTAAACACACATCCACAAAGAAACAGAAAACACACACACAAAAGACAGCCTTCAATGCCACTATTTTGTTAACTGACACAGTAAAAAGCTTTGCTTCGGGAAGTTTTTATTGATACTCAGTGCTTTTGATACTGTTTTCCCAATGGAGTAATCAAAAATAATCTATGTCTAACCACACTTACTCCTTGGAAATCATCCGCTGCAAGTCCTGCTGATAAAATTTTCAACAGGAAAAGGAAGAAAAAGGGGAAGAAAAAAGAAAAAAAAAAAGTTTAAATTTTCTTTTCTCCAAATTGCAATAAACTTACCTATTAAACTCCAAAACTCTGTACCTCAGGAAACACATTCTTGGACTCACATTAGGTTATAAGTAGTAGAACAGACTGTTATTAGGTTAATTCAGACATGTAAATAGCCTGTTACATGGTTTTTAAAGATAGTAATGTATTTAACTACTTCTGAAATCAGTGACAGGCATTTATCTTGTACACTCCTGATTGTGGAGATTCATATAGTGTGACATCAATTGTGTGGCAAAACAAACCAGAAACATTTGCAAACAAGTTCCCAAGGGTTTGTGCTATTTCAAACTTTATACGTTTTGAACACAGGTGAAAAACAGGTCAGAAAATACTTGAAGAATA